CTGTCTTAGGACATGAATCCTCACAAGCAGCAAGGTGGGGGCTCTCTGCAGTTGGGAGAAGGGCTGGCCAGGCACCCGTGGTGTCAGCACTGCTGACAGCTCTTCCTGTGCCCAGCGGGGTGTTGAATGCTGGGTGGGACTATGGGCTGGGGGAGCACAAAGGCAATCACAAAACAAGGACATAGCCCAGCACCCTTCTCCCCCAAACCCAGGGAGACTCCAGGGCTAATGGAGGGGACTGGATGCAATGCACCTAAACCTGCTTATGTAGAAGTGGTGACAAAAAGCCAACAGTCAGCCAAAGGATCGTTCCTAGTAGAGAAAAATCAATAAAGGCATAAAAACATACTTAGCTGTGCCTTTAATAAATGAACTTGAGGGACTCAAAAAGAGACTTGTATGCCAATGTTCATTGCAGCATTATTCACAATAGCCAAAAGGTGGAACAACCCAAATGTTCATCAATAGATGAATGGACACACAAAATGAGGTTGTTCCGTACAATGGATACTATTCAATCATAAAGCAATGAAGTTCGGGCCGGCCCGTGGCTCACTCGGGAGAGTGCGGTGCTGATAACACCACGGCCCCGGGTTCGGATCCCATATAGGGATGGCCGGTTCGCTCACTGGCTGAGCCCCAACAGTTTCATACAGAACCAAGGGTCTCAAGGAGATAACTGTGGCCCCAATAAATGAAGGGAATTCCTTATTCTGGATCCTGAGTTGTTCACAGTGATGAGCAGAGAGGAAGTGGCAGTCTCCATGGTGTCCCGGACCGTGTGCTTTGCAGCTGCCACCCTGTCCCCAGTACCACCTCTAAGTTTCTCTCATTGGAATCATCCTCCAGAAAGTGTGCCATTTACCTGCAGTGGAGAGAGCTGGAATCAGATGACCTGGGCCTACTCTTGCTATAACCTTGGGAAATCACTTACCTTCTCTGAGCCTTTGTTTTCCCATCTGCAAAATGGGAAAATAATAAAACCTAACCTCACAGGATTGTTGTGAAGGTTACATTTTAGTAATGTATGCAAAACTTCTAGGATGGTGCATGGCACATAGGGAGCATTTAAAAAGTGATTGTCATTGTTATTACAATGGAGTCACATAATATGTACATGAAGCTTATGTTAATTCAACTATATGTGTGTGGCAAAAAAAAAAGAGACAGAGAAATGGTACAGGAGGTAATTCTGCTAGTCTTTCTGCTCACTGAGTATGTGGCCTGGAGAAAGGGTGAGGTGGGAGACACTGGACTGCTGGATACCCAGTCATTCTCTGTCCTGTGAGCCTCTTTCAGTGTGAGTGGAGGTTGTAACTATCAGTGGGTAAATTTCAATTTCTGCCTTGCTAACTGTAATACCAGGTAGAAAATGCAGGGTGAGGTTTGCTTATAATTTGGTAGCTCAGTTCATGTGTGAATATTTGGGGCACAGATGAAGAAGGGATATCCATGAAGACAGGGTGATAGGGATTCCCAGCCTTGGTGGTTCTGTCCACTAAAGGATGATGGGCAGCCTCCATGACACTGATCACTTGACACTGGTCAGAAAGTGGGAGGGATGTGTGGGGGATTGGTGGGGCTGATGGAGGGATCCTTCCACTGACTATTCCCCAAAGATCCCATATACTCAGTGGCCACACTAGAACCTTGAACTCTTGTGTGTGCCAAATACCTGAGTGCCACTGTATCTTTGCTCATACTGAGCCTACTTCAGTGACACTTTCCTAAACCCATTCACCTGTCCCTTTCTTCTCTGAGTGTCTAAACCCTAGAAACCTGGAGCAGAACGCTTAACTGATCATCTTTATGCCTTCAGGCAGTGGGATGACTAGCCATTCCAGTTGCCTAGGACCGGGGAATTTCAGTGCTGAAAGCAAGACAGTGGTCACCCTATCAGGCAGACGAGTGAGACTTTTTTTACAGCTCACTTGAGATGGCCTCTATTCTAGGAATCCTTTCCCGATCTCTTATCTGAGAGCCATCTTTCTTGACATTGAATTTCTTCTAGGACATTCTTTGTGCTTATTCATGTCTGACTTTGTGCTTATTCATGTCTGACTCCACACCCCACTTTCATCCCAGAATTCGAGTGAATGAGGCTATCATTTCAGGACATCTTGTTATTGTGTGTCCTGTATGCACGAGGTGAGGGTCAGAATGGGAGTTGGCAGCAGGCTGGGTGACCGACCTGGGGCTCTGCCATTCAGCCCCTTTCTACAGCTGTAGAGTTTGAATTTCTACAAGGCTGGCTCAGCTCTATTCCCCAAAGATCCCATATACTCAGTGGCCACACTAGAACCTTGAACTCTTGTGTGTGCCCAATACCTGAGTGCCACTGTATCTTTGCTCATACTGAGCCTACTTCAGTGACACTTTCCTAAACCCATTCACCTGCCCCTTTCTTCTCTGAGTGTCTAAACCCTAGAAACCTGGAGCAGAACGCTTAACTGATCATCTTTATGCCTTCAGGCAGTGGGGTGACTAGCCATTCCAGTTGCCTAGGACCGGGGAATTTCAGCGCTGAAAGCAAGACAGTGGTCACCCTATCAGGCAGACGAGTGAGACTTTTTTTACCTCACTTGAGATGGCCTCTATTCTAGGAATCCTTTCCCGATCTCTTATCTGAGAGCCATCTTTCTCGACATTGAATTTCTTCTAGGACATTCTTTGTGCTTATTCATGTCTGTTTGTGCTTATTCATGTCTGGACTCCACACCCCACTTTCATCCCAGAATTCGAGTGAATGAGGCTATCATTTCAGGACATCTTGTTATTGTGTGTCCTGTATGCACGAGGTGAGGGTCAGAATGGGAGTTGGCAGCAGGCTGGGTGACCGACCTGGGGCTCCGCCATTCAGCCGCTTTCTACAGCTGTAGAGTGTGAATTTCTACAAGGCTGGCTCAGCTGTCACTCTTTGAAACATTTAATTACATGTAAAGATCTTGAAGGCTGTCTGTTACCTCCCAGGGAAACATTTCTTTTTCTTGCTCCTTCTGAAGCTGGCTGCTTGGAAAGTAATAACATTGAACTGAAGATGAAGCAACCAGGGGGCATAGGCATTACTGAAAGGCATCAGAAAGAGATGGAAAGGGTGACAGGGCGATGGAGCCAGGGGAGGGGTTGGGAGTTAGAAGAAACGTTTCAGGGGAGTGAAATGCGAGAGGTGAGAACGCCAGTGTGGAAGAGAGAGAGAAAAGGCCGGCAGGAAAGATAGAGAAATGGAGACTGGGCAGGGCTGGAGAGACCCCACGAAGAGCGGTAGGGTCACAGAGAAGAGAAGCGGCAGATGGGGAGAGAGCGGCCTGGCTGAAAGGAACAAAGACAGCCAAGGAAAGGTTTAGCAAAGAGGGAAGGAGGGCCGACTTGGGTCTCCAGAATTTCAGCAAGAGAGGGAGCTTTGGGGATGCCATTTGTTTGTAAGGGAATGGCCTGGACTGAGAAATGCGTCCCGAAGCTGTGTTGAGGAAGCAAGCCCTCTTAGCTTGTTTGATTATGTGGGTGGCTTGGCGGAAGAATTGGTGGAGGTTACGAGACTCCAAAGCTTCCACCCAGACACTGTTGGTGCCTCCTGTCCAGGGAAGGGCGATGGAGAGATGGGAAGGCCGCATGGGCATCGACTCTGGGGCGGGGCGGGGCGGGGGGGGGCGTGGCCGGGAGGAGAGGGAGGGGCGTGGCCGGGAGGGGAGGGGCGGAGCCGGTCCAGCCGCAGTCACCACAGCTGCGCGGCCCCGCCCAGCGCTCCTTGCGGGTGGGCAGGTTGGTGAGAGCAGAAGGGCGTTCTGGGTGGTCCTGGCTGTGGGATCTCCTGAGCTCTGACCCCGCGTCCTACAGAGTCTAAATGCCCAGGCCTCCGCCACGCGGGTCTCAGATTCCCGCCATCCAGGCCCCGGGGTGACTCGTACTTCCTGAGACCGTGCAAGGTTGGCGCCCCCATGATCAGAAGAGCTCATTAAACCCCTTCCAGGAGGCTCTTCTTGGTCGCGAGCCCCAGACTTTAGCTTGGAATTCTCTTCTCACCTTAACCCGTATGCCACTGCTCACCTGGGGGCTTCCCTTCCAGCCCTTTTGGGACAGAGAAAGTGAGTGGGTGAGGGCCCTGGGCAGATACCGTGTGCAGATTGGGAGGGTTACCACCTGTTCCTCTCCCTTTCTCCCATCAGACTCCAAGCAGCCCCTCACTCCAGTTCCCTGGAGAGTCCATATTGACAGGGAACTTCCAAGCCTGCTTAGTTTAGACCCCTCAGAGGCAAGATCGAACTTCTCCTCCCAACCCTGTCCAAGACTCTTTGGCCTCTCCAACAGCTCTAGATTCTGAGAGGGCACCCAAGGACTGTGGCCACAGAGATATCCTTGACTGAGGGTGTTTCCTGCCCCGATGTCTGACCGGCTCCCAGGACTCAGTGAGCTAGAAACCAGGGCCATTGGATGAAGGCCCAAGGCCAAGACCCCATACAAATCCTTCCCCATATCTCAACAGTGCTCAGCCCTGCACATGAGCATGCTGCGGTAGTTAGGAGCCTTCCAGAGCCTGGAAGGGACATGCCCCAGATTCTCCCCCTCTCTGAATCTAGACAGATTCTTTAAGGCAAGACCCATGGTCACTTCTCAGTACCATTGCTCATGCTGTTTCTTCTGCCTAGCATTCCCCCACCCTCCATTCTCTCTGTGAAGTAAAATGTCTTCCTCTTGAGGAAGGCTTCCTCAGCCTTTTCCCCAGAAGAACACTTTTCTTTACACTAAGAACACTGAAGTCATCCTACAAGTATTGGTCCAAGCACACTACATTCCAAAATATTTTATCTGAGCCCAGCTTCCCCTCCTGGCAGGGAGCCCAACTGCATCTCAGTTGCCACTGTGCCTAATGTAGCTTGCACTGACAGAACTCACTAATTCCTAGGGAGCCTTGGAGCATTGGGATTGGCAGCATTGGGGCCCTGCCACCTGATTTGAACACTGCCATAACTAACACCTCTGCTTCTCCATGCAGCTGCGAGGAGCTGTGCCCTCCCGGGAGCCATGGAGCTCACTGCGAGCTGCGCTGCCCCTGCCAGAATGGAGGCACCTGCCACCACATCACTGGCGAGTGTACCTGTCCCCCTGGCTGGATGGTAGGTGGGCCCACAGGATCTGGGTGGGGCACTGTAAGAGGCCTGAGCATCCCTCAGTCACGTGTACCTAGAAAGGCTAAATTCCCCTCCCCCCCAAATACCCTTCCTCCTATTTATGGTCATAGGGCATCATTAGACACTGCCAGTGGTGCCATGGACACAGCTTTGAATCCCATGTCTACCATCTAAGTGCTGTGTGGCCTGAAGCAAGTTACTTAACCTCTCTGAGCCTGTGGTTCCTCTGTCTTTGGGCATAGGCACCAACAGGAGCTGCCATGGGCTCTTGGCCAGATGTGGCAGAAAGGGCTGGGAAAGGAGGAGAGACAGCAGGGTACACATCACCTGAATTTATATGATTTCACACCCTGCAACTCATACACACACATTTTGATTCTGTGGGCCCCAGAATCTGTATTTTAACAAGTGATGCAGGTGATTCTGATACAGCCTCAACCAGACCAGGTTTTGTGTCTGGAAACAACCACTGTGGGAAAGAGGGATGGGATTTATAGCCTCATAGGCCTAAATTCAGGTTTCGTATCCAATGCTGACCCCCCCAAAAGCCTCAATTACTCTGGTCTCTGCTTCCCCATCTGCAAAACTGACGTAACAACAGTAAGCCCTGCCCCGCATCGCTGCTGTGGTTGGCAGAGGCTCAGAGGAGCCATTTATGTCTTAAGTGCTTTGCAAACTCTGAAGCACTCTGCAGTTGCTCGTTTTATATCCCTGGATGCCACAGACTATCCACAACCCTCCTTGTATCCAACTCACTCGCCTGTCAGTGTCTCCCTGCAGACCCAAGCCCCTCAGAAACGACGAGTTGGCTGAGGCTGACTTTCCGGGTTGCGCCCCTGCCTTTGACTCTCCAGTCACATACCCCGTTTTGAGGAAAGCTCAGTGACACAGCTGGCCACCTCCCCCTGGGGCTTGAAGCTTTGCAAAGCCAGAGAGAACAGAGCAGAAGCAGGATATTTTCGGAGGCTGTGAACACTGAGGTCACAGGGCAGACAGGAGGGACCTGCAGGGCCCATCATTACAGGCACAGACTTCAGAATATTTTTAGGGCAGGAGAGGACCTTGGGGGTCATTTGGTCCAGCAGCGTCCAAACCTGGCTGCACGCCATAGTCGAAAAGAGGGTAGGGGTGGTTAAATACAGATTCCCAGGCTTCACCTGAGACCTTCTGGAACCTGGGGTATCTCTATTTTTAATAAGCTCCCCAGATGATTCTGAGGCAGCCAGCCCTGTCCACGGGTCTGCATTTGGAAATAATTGATCGACACTGTAGGATTTCCTTCTATGTTTCACAGAACACAAGGGTTTCTTGGAGGTGAGGATGGGGGTGAGGAGCCCAAAAAATAGGTCTCTCGCTCCCACCCCTCCCCAACCTTTCAATTTTAACATTTTCTATATTGAGGTTCTAGATACGATTTCACATAAAACTGGGACTCCCAGCTTTAAGTGGTTTGAACACCACTGGTCCGTCAATATCTCCCTTTATTGGATGAGGAAGCTGAGGCCCAAAGAGGGGAAGTGACCTGGCCAAGGGCACCCTGCTAGTTAGAAGTGAGGTGGACTTAGGACCCAGTCTGCTGACTCCGAATCCCAGCCCTTGGTGTCTGTCTGTCTGTTTCTTCTGAGGCGGGCAAAGGGACTGCTGCCCCCTCTCCCACACCTGCCCATTTTTCCCACCTCGGACCACTCTCTGGAAAGGCCCTCTCATCTCCAGCCAGCTTCCAGAAATCCACCACCTGGCAGGCTGGGTCCTCGGAGGCCCAGCAGCGGGCAGCGAGATCAGACAGGGATGCGGTGGGGGAGGACGAGGCTGCAGGCAGGCCCGTACCTGCAAAGGCCTCTCTGGAGAGACGGCTGGAGGCTGTGGTCAAAGAGTGGGTAGTAGGGAAGCCAACACATGGAGGCATTTTTTTGTCCCCAACACAGTGAGAGGTTTGTTCTTCCAGATGACAAGAAACTCTGTCAATAGAAGCCTTTGGATTTGGAGACTTTATGTTTTTAATTTTATTGTAGACAATTGCATTTCTATTTTTGACATAGCATTTAACTTGCAGATTTGTATGAATTATTAATATCCTTCATGCATGCAGAGTCACATATAATGAATCTGCAGCTCAGGCCTGAGGCTCCTCCCAGGGAAAGCTGGGGTCAAGGAGAGGGTACTGGGGAGAAGGGACCCCCCTTATCATCTTCCATTTCCTGGCTTTCCCTTTGACCCCTGTGGCTTCAACCACACATCTTGCAACTCAGACATCTAAAGAACATGACGGCTAACTCACACCATGCGCTCCCCAAAGGACTGGGACATGGTACAGAACTGGAGAAGAGCTGCCAGGAAATCTGGTCCTCCAGGCCCCTCCTCAGAGATTCCTGGCCACCAGGCCCTGAGAATGACTACAGGACACTCCACGTGCCCAGTGTTGTGAGCCCATGCTAGCAGGGGCCTTTGCAAAGAGCCCACGGAATTATTTCTCTTCTTTTTCTGAGTTCTGAGACTCTCCTCAGAGATTCCTGGCCACCAGGCCCTGAGAATGACTACAGGACACTCCACGTGCCCAGCGTTGTGAGCCCATGCTAGCAGGGGCCTTTGCAAAGAGCCCACGGAATTATTTCTCTTCTTTTTCTGAGTTCTGAGACTTTTTTTTTTTCCTTTTTGTCTTTTTTTCGTGACTGGCAACGGATCGCCAACCCTCAGTGTCGCACCCGTACCGGACCGGGACCGGCAACGGGATCGCAACCCTCGGTGTTGCTCCCGCACCTCGCTTAGCCAGTGAGCGGGAACCGGTCTGTATGTGGGATCCGAACCCTCGGCGGTAGCACCGCCGCGCTCCCAAGCGGCGCACTGTAGCAGTGTGCCACCGGGCCGGCCCCTGAGTTCTGAGACTTTTAAAAGCACAGAAACCAGATGTGAGTAGTTTGATGAGAGTGGGCACTAGAGACAGATGGGGAGGTAGGAGGAAATACGATAGGCTCCCCTTAGGAGTTTGCAGTCTGATGGTAGAGGCTAGATGGAGTATGTGAATATACTCACACACACACACACACACGAACTCACACACGTGTACACAAGGGAAACAAGATGGGAGAGAAATGGGGCTGGGGAGCTGGGAAATAGAACCAGTTACCATGGAGGGCCAGAGAGGTTTTTGGAGCTGGGGCTGTAGACTCATGGTCGCTCAGGATTGGAAAGGATGATTCATGGGGCCCCACACCCTGGCCTGTGGCCGGACCACCTCCACAGCACCCACACCAATCACTGTTCACTGTCCAGTGAGGGGGTCCACACCATCCTGGGACAGCATTGATAATGACAAATGCCTTCAGATGCCCAGAGAGGCTGAGTTGTCTCTTGTCCAGCAGAGTTGGAGTGGCCTTAAGTCTCCTCACCATCTTGGTCCCTTCCTTCCTTTTGTTCCACCTGGCCATGGTGTTGTTTCCAAATTTTGACAAAACCATTTGGTCTTCCAAGTTCTGAGAGGAGCAGAACTATTGCCTCACTTCATGTCTTACCTAGACACTGCAGTAGCCCAAGATCCCACTACAATTGGGGATACACACTCAGTTGACCATGGGACAGGTGCATTCATCTGCTAGGCTGCCATAACAAATACCGCAGACTGGATGGTTTAAGCAACAAAAATTCACGTCTCACAGTTCTGGAGGCTGGAAGCCCAAGATCAAGGTGTTGGCAGGGTTGGTTTCTTCTGAGGCTTCTTTCTCTCTTTGGCTTGTGGTCAGCCATCTCCCTGTGTCTTTACAGAGTCTTTCTTCTGTGTGTCTGTCTTAATCCCCCGCCCTCCCACTTTTTTTTTTTTTTTTGCCAGCTATTACAGGGATTGAACCATGGACCTTAGTGTTATCAGCACCATGCTCTAACCAGCTGAGCTAACTGGCCAGCTAATCTCCTCTTCTTGTAAGGACATGAATCCTATTGGATTAAGGCCCACCCATACAACCTCATTTTAACTTGATTATTTCTGTAAAGGCCCTATCTCCAAATACGGTGATATTCTGAGGTACTGGGAGTTAGGACTTCAACAAGTGGGTTTTGAGGGTATGCAATTCAGCTCATAATAGCAGGAAAGAAAGGCCCATAAAGCCGCAGCCTTCTCTTAGCCAACACTTTCCTGCCTGCTCTCTCCCCCGTCTCTCCCCAAAAGGCTGTTCTTCCAGCCAGCAGTAGTTTATTTTTTTTTTAATTTTTTTTTTTTTTTAAAGATGACCGGTAAGGGGATCTTAACCCTTGGCTTAATGTTGTCAGCACCACACTCAGCCAGTGAGCTAACCGGCCATCCCTATAAGGGATCCGAACCCGTGGCCTTGGTGT